CGCCCCCTACGGCATCACCCCACCCCCAGAGGCAGAGCCCCCTCCCTGGCGGCGGGAGGCCCTTCCCAGCTGGCTGGCTGGAGCCGGCCTGTGTGGGCCGAGGAGTTGGCTTCCACACTGATTTATCCCCCTGTTCCCAGTGAAACCTTTAATGGAAAAGGCCCTTTCAACTGTGGGGCCCAGCTGCACACATCTGAGGGGCTGGGTTTGGGCCTTAATCAGCACCCAGAAGTCCAGGGGAGCTATGGGTGCTCAGCATGTCTGGGCATCTCCAGCCACCTTTGAGAGCTGCTCTTTAAATCCCTCCTGACCTCTTATTATTATGTATCACACTAGTACCTAGAGGCCCCAATATTGGGAGCTTCACAGAGATCAGGGACTTGATTGTATGAAGTACTGTGTAGACCTGACTGAGATGAGCCCCCTTTGTGCCAGGTGCTGCACAGCATAGTCCCTGGCCAAGAGCCAGGCCTCCCATGGTACCAAGTGTTACATAGGGGAATACAGCCCTTGCCTCCAAGTGCTTTTACAGTCTAAATAGCAAAGATCATCCCTAGTTTTATAGACAAGGAAACTAAGGCCCAGAGAGAGTGAATTGCTTGCCTATACAGAGGCGGTGTCTAGACTGGCCAGTTTTTCCGGAAAATCAGCTGCTTTTCTGGAAAAACTTGCCAGCTGTCTACACTGGCCGCTTGAATTTCTGCAAAAGCACTGACTTCCTACTGTAAGAAATCAGTGCTTCTTGCAGAAATACTATTCTGCTCCCGTTCAGGCAAAAGTCCCTTTTGCGCAAAGCTTTTGCGCAAAAGGGCCAGTGTAGACAGCTCAGATTTGTTTTCTGCAAAAAAGCTCTGATCGCGAAAATGGCGATCGGGGCTTTTTTGTGGAAAAGCGTGTCTAGATTGTCATGGACGCTTTTTCGCAAAAAGTGCTTTTGCAGAAAAGTGTCCGTGCCAATCTAGACGCTTTGTTCCGAAAATGCTTTTAACGCAAAACTTTTCCGTTAAAAGCATTTCTGGAAAATCATGCCAATCTAGACTTAGAGAGTCCAATGGCAGAGCCAGGAACTTCCTGGCTTACAGGCCAGTGATTCAACCTTAGGTGACAGGGGGCAAATCACTTCCCTGTTCTGTGTTGTGGTTTCCCTGTTTGTGAAAAGGGGATAGTGATGCTGACCTCCTTTGAAAAGTGCTTTGAGATCTACTGTTGAAATAAGCCCAAAATAGTATTATTTAACTACAGTACCATCCTGGTGCTAGATAAGCCCAAAGTAGTATTATTTAACTACAGTACCATCCTGTGTTTTAAATTATTAAAATCTTTTCTTTAATAGTATTCCATCTTCTAAATTATTTGTATGGTGATCTGAATTAGAATCAGAGCTGTGTGAACAGCATTCTTTGTTCATACAAGTGGAAGGCTGATCAGTTGTGTGTGTGGATATTTTTCAAAGAATCTATTTCTAGTTGATTGTGTTGTGGGATTTTAATGTCTCAAAGACATTTCTTACTGGGTTTTGTAAAACTTTAGAAAATTATATAACACTCTGAATTTAGGCCTTAAACTAAGAGAACATTAAGCTAAATTCTTAGGCTTGCAACTGTGTTTGTTATTGGGTCAAATTAAAAGCTTTGGTTATGATGCTTGCAAAGAAGGGTTCTTTGCTGATCAGGGGAGTGGTGAGCCTATTTAATAAGAGGAGATTGAAAAAGCTGGCCAGATGAAGGCTGAGAGGGAATCTGGGTTGCTCTCTATAAATACTTCCCTGCCGGAGGGGATTCCAGAGAGGGATAAGAGTTAAAGGATAATGTTGGCACAAGAACAAACAAGGATAACCTGTCTCAAGGTATGTCTAGACTGCAGAGTTTTTCTGGGATACCAGAGATAGCTTGGAAAAACTCTGCTGCGTCCAAGGAATGTGTCTGCTCTTCCACTTTTTTTTTGCACCGAAATTTTTTTTGGAAGAGCAGAAATGTTTTTTCAGCATCCCTGTAAGCCTCGTTTTACGAGGAAGAAAGGATGCTCTGAAAAAGGGTTTTGGCCCAGTGTAGATGGGCCAAAAGTCGGAAAAGCCTCTTCTGAAAAAAGAAGTGGAAAAAGCTATGCAAATTGCAGTTTGCAATTTGCATATCTTTCTCTGGAAGAACTGTGTAGTCTAGACACAGACTCACAGGGGTAGCCGGATTAGTCTGTAACTTTAAAAACAAGTAGTCCTGTGGCACCATAGAGACTAACAAAAATATATATAGTATCATGAGCTTTCATGGGCAAAACCCACTTTTTTGTTGAGCTCATCTGAAGAAGTAAGTGAGTTTTGCCCATGAAAGCTCATGATAATATAAATAAATAAATACATTCTCTAAAATGCCACAGGACTAGTCATTGTTTTTAAGGATAAACTGGGCAGGAATAAATTTTAGATGGAAATGAGAAGAAAGTTTCTGCCCATCAGAGGAGGAAGTTCTGGAAACCTCCTTGTAGGAGAAGTGGGGAGAGGGGGAAACAATCCAACTAGTTTGAAGATGAAATTTGATGAATGTATGCCAGGGATTCTATGATGGTGTTGCCTGCAGTATTTGGGATTGGATTTAGTGAACTTAAAGGTCGCTTCCAGGAATAGGTCCTATTTGCAATTGACTGATGCTGTTTTTGTTGATCCAGACTGAAGGGCTAATAATCAGTTAAAAAAAAAAAGATTTAGGTGCCTAATGATGCCAGTAGGCCCCCTGCTGGGATATTTAAATCTGCCTAGATAGTGAAGTTGTGAAGTAGATTAGACTCTTCTAATATGTGAGCTAATGTTTCTAATGCCACCTCTTTTATCCTAGTCCAGACAAGGCCTTGGTGTGAGAGATTCCAAGAGGGCAGAGTGATCTAGTGGACAGAGCACTGGGGACTGGGACTTGGGAGACGAGTGTTTTTTTCCTAGCTTAGCCTGCAGGGTCATCTTGGGTAAGTCCCCTTACTTCTCTATACCTCAGTTTCTCCACTTGTAAAATGCTGAGAAAAAGTACTTTACAAAAGGTCAGTACCTGAGCTCTACAAAGAACTAGGGATTACGAGTAGTATCAGCTATTCTGTATAAAGCAATACACCTTGGCTGTGTCTAGACTGGCAAGTTTTTATGCAAAATCATCTGCTTTTGCAGAAAAACTTGCCAGCTGTCTACACTGGCCGCTTGAATTTACACAAGAACACTGACGATCTCATGTAAGATCGTCAGTGTTCTTGCGGAAATACTGTTCTGCTCCCGTTCGGGCAAAAGCCCTCTTGCGCAAATCATTTGCGCAAGAGGGCCAGTGTAAACAGCACAGTATTGTTTTCCGCAAAAAAGCCCTGATCGCGAAAATGGCGATCGGGGCTTTTTTGCGGAAAAGTGTCCATGGCCAATCTAGATGTGCTTTACCGAAAATGCTTTTAACGGAAAACTTTTCCGTTAAAAGCATTTCCAGAAAATCATGCCAGTGTAGACGTAGCCCTTCTCAGATGATACTTTCTTGTTTCATCTTCTAAAATCTGCTGATTTCACTGGACCTGCACCAATTCACGACAGCTCATGAGCTGGCCTTTAGGGAGTGGGCTTCTGAGGGCATTTTAGTCAAGCAGCAGTCAGAGACCATTACTACAACTATGCCACAGTGGAAGGTTTTTTTAAACATTAATTTGAGGTGTGGCAAGGTCCTCACTCAGGCTCCTTGCCCTGGGACACCTTCTGGTCCACAGATAATCTGGAGACCCTTTCTGGTGCAGTCACCTATGCTTCTGAGGGCATTTAGGTGCCTAATGATGCCAGTAGGCCCCCTGCTGGGATATTTAAATCTGCCTACATAGTGAAGTTGTGAAGTAGATTAGACTCTTCTAATATGTGAGCTAATGTTTCTAATGCCACCTCTTTTATCCTAGTCCAGACAGGACTATGCCCAGCTTCCCGCCACCTTCTATTTATAAAGATTTTGGATTACAGCAAACTCAGCCAGCCTCTCCTTTTACCTGAGGGAACATACCCTGGCTCCTTCTTTGCTCTTCCCCTCCTGGCTCCTTTCTACTGCCTTATATAGCCCTCTGGCTAATGAGGCCCAAGGCTGCTTCTAATAGCCCTTCAGGCCTGGGCTTGCTCAACTGTTTGCCTTTAGCCTTTTTAGCCAGCCCTGTGTCACAGAAGATATTTTAAAGGTTCCTCAGAAAAATGTCAATGATTAAAGGTGTTAATGTTTATGTGAATAATACAAGTAGAGAATGTTATTTCTTTTGACAGTGACTTTCACCATGGGGAAGCCATTAAAGCTCTGCTCTTTTTGTATTTGAAAGAAATTCCTCTTCAAAGGATTATTTTGCTAGTGAGGGCTGATAAAGAAATTATACTAGTTATGGCTTGCCAGAATCTCAGCTGAAAGGAAGGTTTTGGAAAGGAAACCTAAACCATAGACATACTGGGCATTTAATGTCAAAGCCTGTGAGCCATAAGTAGGAACCCAGCATTTTTCAGCTTGTTGTACCAATAGGGGAGTAGTGAATAGAGAAGTAGGGAACTGATTTGATCTCTGAAAACAGCTTTGGTGAGACCCATACTGGATCCAGTTCCAGTGTCTACATTTTAAAAGGGTGAAACTGGAGAGGGTTTAGAGAAGAGGCACAAAAAATATTTGAGGACTTGAAAAAATTGCCTGACAGAGAGAGGCTTAAATAACTCAATATGTTTTTCAAAAAGAAGATTGCAAGGGACTTGATTACAGTGTGTATTCATGGGGAGATAATCATAGAATCATAGAGCTGGAAGAGACCTTAGGAGGTCATCAAGTCCAGCCCCCTGCCCAAGACAGGACCAATCCCAGCTAAATCTATTTGCCAGAGCTTTGTCAAGCCGAGACTTAAAAACCTCTAAGGATGGAGATTCCACCACCATCCTAGGTAACCCATTCCAGTGCTTCACCACCCTTTTAGTGAAATAGTTTTTCCTAATATCATCTCGCCAGCCTCTTTGGAACCTCCCTTCAGGGAGTTGAAGGCTGCTATCAAATCTCCCCTCACTCTTATCTTCTTCAGACTAAACAAACCCAAATCCCTCAGTCTCTCCTCATAGGTCATGCGCTCCAGCCCCCTTATCATTTTGGTCACCCTCTGCTAGACCCTCTCCAATGCATCCACATCCTTTCTATAGTGGGGGGGCCCAGAATTGGCCACAATACTCCAGATATGGCCTCACCAGAGCTGAATAAAGAGGAATAATCACTTCTCTGGATCTGCTGGCAATGCTTCTCCTAGTGCACCCTAATATGCCATTAGCCTTCTTGGCTACAAGGGCACACTGTTGACTCATATCCAGCTTCTCATCCACTGTAATCCCCAGGTCCTTTTCTGAAGAACTGCTACTTAGCCAGTCCGTCCCCAGCCTGCAACAATGCTTGGGATTCTTCCATGACAAGTGCAGGACTCTACACTTGTCCTTGTTGAACCTCATCAGATTTCTTTTGGCCCAATCCTCTAATCTGTCCAAGTCACTCTGGACCCTATCCCTGCCCTCTAGTGTATCTATCTCTCCCCCTAGCTTAGTGTCATCTTCAAACTTGCTCAGGGTGCAATCCATCCCCTCGTCCAGGACATTAATAAAGATGTTGAACAAAACCTGTCGTAGAACTGATCCTTGGGGCACTCCGCTAGAAACTGACTGCCAACCTGACATCGAGCCATTGATCACTACCCATTGAGCCCGACAGTCTAGCCAGCTTTCTATTCATCTTACAGTCCATTTATCCAATCCATATTCCCTTAACTTACTGGAAAGAATATTGTGGGAGACCGTATCAAAAGCTTTGCTAAAGTCAGAGTATATCACATCTACTGACTTTCCCATATCCACAGAGTCAGTTACCTCATCATAGAAGCTAATCAGATTGGTAAGGCATGACTTGCCCTTTGTGAATCCATGTTGACTATTCCTGATTGCTTTCCCCTCTTCCAAGTGCTTCAAAATGGATTCCTTGAGGATCCCCTCCATGATTTTTCCAGGGACTGAGGTAAGGCTGACTGGTTTCTAGTTCCCTGGATTGTCCTTCTTCCCTTTTTTAAAGATGGGCACTACATTTTCCTTTTTCCAGTCATTCGGGAGCTCTCCCAATCTCCACGAGTTTTCAAAGATAATGGCCAAAGGCTCCACAATGACATTTACCAACTCCCTCAGTACCCTCGGATGAATTAAATCCGGGCCCATGAATTTGTGTATGTTTAGCTTTTCTAAATGGTTTCTAACATGTTCTTTCCCAACCAAGGGCTGTCCACCTTCTTCCCATACTGTGTTGCCTAGTGCATTTGTCTGGGAGCTGATCTCATCCATGAAGACAAAAGCAAAAAAAGCATTGAATACTTCAGCTTTTCCCATATCATCTGTCACTAGGTTACCTCTCCCATCCAGTAAGGGTCCCACACCCTTTCTGATCACCCTGTTATTGCTAACATGCCTGTAGAAACCTTTCTTGTTATCCTTCACATCCCTTGCTAGCTGCAATTCCAATTGCACTTTCGCCTTCTTGATAACTCCCCTGCATAATCCTGGGTACTAAAGGGCCCTTTGGGAGAGAGAGACAGAACAAGAACTAATGGCTAGAAGTTAAAACTTGACACACCCACATTAGAAATAAAGCACTTTTTTAATGAAGAGGGTGGTTGGTTAACTATTGGAACAAAGTCTTAAGGGAAGTAGTGGATTCTCATCTGAATTCCGGATTGGATACCTTTCTGAAAGATACTTTAGTCAAACAAGTGACTGGGCTCAACACACAAGGGTAACAATAAAATTCTCTGGCCACTGCTATATAGGATTGCCAGTTGTCCGGTATTGAACTGGACAGTCCGGTATTTTAGCCTCCTGTCTGTTAAAAAAATTCAGAAAATACCAGACACCTAAAATGTCTGGTATTTTCTGACTTTTTCCTGGCCAGGCAGCGAAAATCCGAGATGCTTACTGGGTTCTGCAGGCAAGCTGTCCAGCCCGGTGTAGGGAGGCAAGATGGCAGGTAGCCACTGACAGCCTGTTAGGGCCCAAAAGCTTCAAAAGCATTTCTTAAAGAGGACACACTTTTTTTTTCTTTTGCTTAACAACTCTTGGGGTCCTTTACCGCCCCCCTCCCCAGTATTTTATCAGAAACCATCTGGCAACCCTGCTACTATAAAGGAGGTTACTGTAGGGCCTTGTCTTGCTGATATAACTATACTGGCAGACTCTCCTCAAGTAGAAGCAGTTTATACCATAAAATAAATCCTTTTTCAGTATAGTTTATATCAGTTCTTCAAGTGAAAACCGGAGCAATATTACATCAAAAATTGCATCTTCACCAGGGTTTTTGCTGGCACAAATTATGTCAGCAAAAACGTACACCCCAGACATGTGCAGCTAAACCAGCAAAACTTTGTAGACCAAGTCTAGATGACCTAAAGGGTCTTGTGGCTTTAAATTCTATGCATCTGTGTTGTAGCTATAATCTCTGCAGATCTTGTGCAGTTTGGTTGTACCACTGGTGGGTGTGTCTGCCACTCATCCTGCTGAGGGCTGCTTGAAAAACAATGAGATTCAACTACTAGGAAACTGATGTCCATGGGTCACATAATGTTCTCTGCAGCCTGGGTTCATTGGTTCATTATTACTGGTCTCTGGATCTTGCAGTAATGTGAGATAAGAATGGGTGAAATGAAGAGGGTTGGAAGGAAGGCCCCTTCTTTCATTAGCGGAATGTTTGACAGTTGCTATTGCACTGGAATGATGGCTTTTTGCTGAGTGCCAGTGCAACCAGTATGTGACCCCAGGTGTGAGTAAGGATGTTAAGAAATAGGTATTTTGCTAATTGTGTAATCAATAAGAGGAGGCTTGCTCTGGGACTGCTTGGTCCTGGCTCTGGCTCCTCTGGGACCCTTTTGGGAGCCCCACAGACAGGGTCTGTTGCTGGAGCAGCCTCTGCCCA